GTACGGTCGTCGCTTAAGATTCCCTATGGTCAGCGACGGCCAGTCCCCGTCTCCAGTCCCAGTTTGCAACATTTACATGCGACGAATACATTTCAAACTCGAACGTTCTGTTGACGACTACTATTCATATTCCTATTTCGGTAACTATTTGTATTTAGAAAAGCACGCGATACAGTTTCGTTACCGTGAAATTCACCGTGCAGCAGTGGTAGCGATCACCCGGCAGTGATTTATTAATATTAAGAGCTATCAAATTAAGATTCCGCCGCGTCGGGCGTAGTCATGCACTGATCTTCCGATTAGACTCGACAATGAGACGAGCATTACACAGGGTTAAGCGGGGGGCTCTTATATTCCATTCCCTCTCGACATTCAACTCGTGGCTGATTAGCACGGTAAAAAGCTCGGATCGATCGATAATGATCGATGGAACGCGAAAGTTCACGACTCAAGATCCATTGCGTCCTGTTAGCTTTGTTAACCGCGACGATGGTACCGCTATTCTTCCCGAACAATGTATTCGTAAATAGATTGGATCATCCGATAGCCGTATTACCGAAAATCTTCCAACGTGGAAAAAGTTAGAAGCCCGCACTTTCGATCTGGCATCTCGACGACGACGACGACGCCGACGTCGGTAGAGCGGCTACCATAATTAAATAGACTCGATAATTACGTTTATGCCCTACTCTTCGCGTATAATTAAACTCAATGATACGAGAAACGTGACACGAATCCTTCGTATCGCCTCTTCTCGTGGTAGTGCTCACGATTAACCAGTGTCGTAAAAGGGAAGTGGCATAAATCGATAAGAATCGTCGTAATGCGAGTTCCGCATTGTCGACCGAAGAATACTATCGTATCGTTCCTCTTTGCATTAATTAAACTCGGAATCCGTGAACGAAAACGTCAGGTTCGTCGCGGAAAGCTTTAAAAGGAGAACGCGTTTAAATTCCGTCTGACACTTTTTGCCCAGTATATGAACGAGGAGGATAGCGTCTGCGCTGATTCTTTTTTTTGCGTTCTGGCGTGTGGCCAAGGTGAGACAACTGAAACGAGTTCCATGCCTTGGTTTTCGCGACGTCTGTCAAATTTGCATCGTGACCCGGTTTCACGGCTACCGACGCGTTCGTTCTTACAAGGTAAAAAAAAGATTTATCTAAAAAGTTTTCCTGAGCACGAGAAAGCTCTGTTGATTTTCCCAGGCACCCTCTCGACGGTATCAGGCACGCGGAAGGCGTTTGCGAAAGCCGTTGCCGCGCGTGTAACGAGGCGAGAGGAAGACGAATGACGAGCCCGCGAGGACGGAAGGGGGTTACATCGCGTACGGCCTCGCCATGAAAGGCAGAAGCAGCGATGAATCAGGGGAACAAGAGATAAAAGACGCGACGATCGAGCGGAAAACAAGGACAGGCGATCGTGTAGATGGCTACAAGTTAAGCCAAGAGTGTTCCTGGGGAGAGAGAAATCTGTAAAGAAGAAAGGGGGTAGAAAGGGAGGGACAAGAGTTTATAGCCACAAGAACAGCAACCGCAGCAGCTCGGTTATCGGAACCCGACGATGACGGCCTTCTGGTGCAGCGACAACGTCGCGAAACGCTTCTCTGGTCTCGCTCGAGCAGGAAACTCGTCGACGCTGTCGACCTTTCGCCTTGGACCCGAGTTGTTCTACGTGTACCTTGTTTCTCGACATTCAGTGGGTACCAAAACATTCCACGTTTCGTGACAGGAACGATTACTCTCGGTAAGAGCAAGTAAAATGTGTCGGAGAACTCCGATATTCTTGTGAAATCGTAAAAAACTCACAAAAAAAAAAAAAAAAGAGACCTTTGTCTCCAAGTACCAAGAATTTCTTCGTTAGCACCCTGTACCGTGGACCAAACGAGACACCGCGAGGTGCAGCTAGCTTCGTCATCGTTCAACAACGCACAACGTCGGAACAACATGGCATACAGTAGCGATTCACACCTGGATTGCATCCTCGACGATAACAGCGAGAATACTGGCTATACGGCTCGTCCTCGTCCTGGTTTCCAGAGTAAATTCCTCTAGCCTCGAACCCTTGCATTCTTCCGAACGAAAAGAAGAAAAAGGCGAGGTGGAAAAGGAACGAGAACACGTCGAGTGCGTGGTAATGCACGCATAAACAGGAATGTTCGCAGCTTCTCTGGGATGCCCGCATTTATATGCCTCTGATCGGAGGTGCTCCGGTATCATTAGAGGAGCCATTCGAGACTCACGCCCCCATTGTCCGAGGGCGACTTTCTTCCTCGTCTCCCTCGGTTAACGCCGAACATCCTCGCAGCCTACCGAGACAATGCCGTACGTGTATCGTGCATCATATTTCACGGTCATTCCTTTTTGTGTCCAGCGCGTACGTATCGGTATCGGCCGCAGTCCCCCTGCCGGCGACGAAAATCCCCGTTCTGGACCACCGTGGTTTAAAATCATTTCGCCGGCCTCCCGCGACGCGCCGTTCGACCAATTATTCTTATCCGTTTTTCGACCGCAGAAACGCAGCGATGTATCGAACGAATTCCGCGAAGGATCGGAAAGTTACTCGCTCAACTTTCTTCATTGGCTCGCTACCCCGCGATACAATTTACATTTTTTTCGAGAAAATTCTATTGTCACGAACCTTGTCTGGATTTTATTCCGAGTCTGCAACTTCTTCTGCATTAAAATGCTTGAAAGTAGCTTCGTCGTTTCGGAATCGGAATTCCGTGCATTCGTTAATCATTGTCGCGCGAATGACATCGATCTAAGGACTCTTTCTTGTTTCTTGTCTCATCGCTAATAGCGCTCGGTCGAGCGAGAGCCATTGGAATTAACGCGGTAGAAAAAACCACAAGACTCGTACTTATCACCGAAATCAGGTTCGTTTTCAACAAAATTGGCGCCGCATTAACAACCATATCGATAGCATCCGTTCCGCGCTTATTATCGCTGGTCGCGAGATTTACGCGTGCTTGTCCCTGTGAATCTGGTATTCATACCCCTCCGGTCCATGTTCAGTGACCCTAACTCGTCGCGATGAGATATCTGCCGGGAGAGCGAGCGCTAATCGTGCGCCATCGTTGTCCCACGGGAATCATTATAGGATCGTCGGACCGGTTAGAATTGATATCGTTCAACGAGTCGCGTGATTCTGCGAAATCCCGGCAAATATTTGACGTATCGAGTAAATTATACCGTTCCCGCGAGAACGCGACAGTCGGACCGTGTTTCGCACGCTGTTATATGCTAGACGGTTTTTGTGAACCTATCGACCTTATAGCGAGAGGTCTCGCAGCGAGAGTCGTATTTTCGACCCGTAACTATCGCAACAATGTTAAAAACAGATCGATAAGAAACACGCGCATTTATTGATGCGTTAGTTATCAGTTAGAAGCCTCGCGTCAAAGGCGAGTGGTATAGACGACATTCGCGGTGGCCTAGTTTCGGAAAGTCTCGGCAACTTGTCCAAATAAAAGCAGAGGTAGTTCCTTTCCTCATTGTTGCCGTACGTGTCGTAGGAATGCCACGGAATGTCCACTCTAAATTCTTCATTTCTGGCGAGGTCAGGAATAACGATACCACGACGTTTACGGAGGTCTTGCTAGCATCGCGAAGAACGGACCGACGAACACGTGTTTGCCGTTGCGACTGGACACGATTGCTCTCGAGCGACTGACTCGCAGTTGCGGCAAGTGCGATGCGTCGTCGCATCGCACGCATGCACCGAGGCGCGCAGTCTAGCTGTGTTCTCGTTAAATAACAAAGTACTTTGTTAATTCGTGGTATCGTGTCTAGCAAAGTACAGAGATTCTATTCTTTCTGATCGCCTGTGTCATCGACCTTTGCAATCTGTGACTCTTTATAATACCGCGTATCGTCAGTCCATTCGGTGTCAAGATGCGCTGGATTTTCTAATTTTGTCCGAATGTGCGTTTATGCGTTACAGCGTATGCGTGTCACGCACACAAGGATGCGACTACTTCAATGGCAGCGGGCGGTCTGTTTCCCCTGGCTCCTCTTTCATCTTGCCAACCCCTCCTTCCTTTCTCTCTCCCTCTCCTTTCTCTTTCATTTCCTCCTCCTCGCTCAGGGGCGTAATGATTAATTAAGCTTTCCGAGAAAACGCAACAAGTGAAACGTTATTAGCCGTTAGTGGCACAGTTTACTCGAACCAACGTCACAACGTCTCCTCTCCCTTATCTGCTTCCCCTTCCCGATCAGAGATCCAACCACGATGGAGTTTTAATAATTACCGTGGCGAAATAGTCTGGCGCCCGCGGTTAGACGCTGTTACGACCTGTAGATGCGTGCACGCGATTTCTGCCATGAAAATCGAGGAATTCTGAAATCTATGGCAACGATTAACCGATGTAGGGACTGGATGATCGAGAACACATGGCTCGGCTACCGTCTCCCGTAAATTCGCTCTAAAAAGCCCGTACCTTTTGAAGGGGTATGATGTTCTTGCAGATTTTCATCGCTGTCCAGAATGTTTTAATTCCGTCGCCATAAATCGCTGCGGCGAACATCGCGGTGGTTCGAAGCTACAGAGGAATTCTTGGTAGCTCGTAGATTCTCGATCGTAATTCCAAGTAGTACGCTTCGTATGGGACTATAGATTGGAATTTGCTTATTAACGGTCAAGTCGATTAAAGAAATGCGAATTCGGATTTGTATAGATCACCTTAATGATAGTTTACGAGGAGTAACGTATTAACGGGGCTCGCGATGAACGACAATAATTGTTCAGTCCCGGGGCTGTAAATATTTCGCGTGGTCGCAGCGTGCAACGTTAGTCATCCGTGGAAGATTATCGCATTCTTGAAATGTCTAACCCGACGAGACCAGTTGAAAGATAGATAGCTCGCGAGATAAGGTAATAATTGGCTCGGTTGAACGGTCGTCGAATGCTCGCGAATACCACTCGCAGATCGTCAACGACGATAACAAATTGCATTCCATTACATCAGATTAATTAAGACATCGCTATAATCTCTGTTTCAGATCGATTCTAGCTTTGACAATGCTCACCGCGGTCAGTGTCACCTGTACTCACGTGCCCGACAAGTATCCCATCGAAGTAAGTTTCAGCCGCAGGCAACAAGGACAAGCTCCTCGGAACCATCTCTCTTCCATCTCTTCATTTTTCTTTTCCACTGTCTTTACTCTTTGTCTTCGAATTTTCAGCTATCGTTTCTACATGAAAGTTATCGCGGGTTTTTACGATTTGTTCAAGCTTACAGAAACGTCAAAGATTACTCGGGCTGAGACATCGATACGCGTAAAATATCGACTGTCCCGCGGAAATATGTTCATTAAAGGAAGTAGCCTCCTTTGGATCCTCAGAGTAATTTGATACATAACTTCTTACCGGTTAACTTACGGCCATAATAACATTATCGCAGCGATCTCGTCCATTAAGATATTTTATCCTCAACGGACGGCCGGTTGGTGCATATTAATTTAATCCACTTACAAGAATTAATAAGCAATTACGTAGACGTTATTCTTGGGTGGCACGAGAAGGATAATTAATTGACACTGGAGGAGCTTCCTAAATTGCAGTCGGGCAAACTGCATTCTCAAGGCCGGCAAACGAGGAACGCGTAATGCAAACACTCGGCGTGTCGTTCGCGCAACGCCGCGCTCCTTGGAACCGAGTTTCTATTACGCTTAAATGGATCGTTTGCTTTGCAAAATATTGCGATACCGCTGTCGACCTCGCGCGATCGTTTCGAATCGAGGAAACGCTGCACGTCCCTCGTTAACGCTGTTTTTATGCGCGTACAACCATCTGGACGAACCATGCGCGCACAATAGTCACCAAGGATCTCTCAATCTCCGAACAACGGCTCCACGCGAAGATACTGTTGGTATTCTTTCGCGATTTTCGATTTTCTCGTCCCGGAGTTTCAACCGGTTTCATCGGCGAGTAGAGAATATCAACAATTTCGCGGCAACCTGTTGAACCTCGCGTAACCAGGATAATGGGGCCTATCGTCGATTAAACTTCCATAGTTTAAACGATCGTTCTAGTTAAACGTAATGATTGGTCGGCCTATCGCTTTTAATCGCCTTCCGCTAACAAGCGCCGCAGTTTTCCATCCGATCGCGGTACCATGGAACTTTTGCGATCTCGAATCTCATTCGATTCGTGGAAGTAATCCAGAAGACGGTAATCCGTTTCCAACAACTCTGACAAATTCAATGGATTTGAAAAATCACCGTGATCTGCAACTCGCTTGCTACCATCTCTCGAACCGTTACAAGAACGTTGAGTCGTCCATAAGAATCCCGTCCAGATTTCGGAACAACGAGATTAAGATTGTTCATCGGGGAAAGAAGAATCCTGAAACGCGCTTCCATTATTTAGCGCGTTGGCTTGACTGGCTAGAGCCTGCCTCTTCATAAAATATTTTCGCGTTGCAGTCAGTGTACATGATAGAAGCTCGTGCGCGGTGCGATTAACGGGCCGGAGTTAATGTCAGACATTAAGGAAGTAGTATTACGCTGGTTCTGCAAGTTAACGACTCTCTGAAAGCAGCTCGAGTTTCGAATTTAGCGATGCTCGCGGCGTGCTAAAACCAATCGTGGCTTAGAATTCGAAACGCGCTATTAGAGGCGCGAACGCGTCTTTAAACCCGTGTTCTTATCATTGCGCTCGGCTGACAGGCTCGACGTATCCATACTTGGACGCAAGGGAACCCTTTGGCGAACGAGAGGTTTCGTAACGGAATCGATCGTGTATTGTTCAACAATTATTTACACGCCGAAGCGCGAGTATATTCCCGATAACGTCGGAACGTATCCGTCTTTTAATTAATTACCTCGACGATCGACGATCAGCGATGTCGCGTCACGAGTGGTTTAATTAGAGTCCCATTCGCGGAAGTGCTAGATATCGAGTATCGAACAATCGGTCTGTATCCGGCGATATCCAGCTGGTAGCGTTTCTCTTTTATAATTAACGCGGCTGGATTACAATACGAACGCCGTCCATTTGATTATCGTCCGACATTTTTGTTCGCTGCCCCTTGATTGATTAATCCTAACGACTGAAGGAACATCTAATGAAATTAATTACATAATATCCCGAATTCTCTACGCGCGACGATGAATAATGACCTGCTCGCACGTAACGAAGCTTCGACGGGTAATTCGAAAACTGCTCGCAAATCTCGCCGACACGCCGCGTGTGAATCAACGGAACCTGATCGACAAGCCTCAAACGATCGTGTGATCGAGACGCGACTGAAATATTTTTCAGGTGTACCATATGCTACGGGAGAAGACACAGTTCGGTTTCGGACGGGACAATCGCATTAGAGGAACGTGGGGCCCGTGGAGTTCTTGGAGCGAGTGTTCTAGGACTTGCGGCACGGGTATCCAATCCCAGTCTCGCGAATGCGTACCATATCAGTGAGTAAAACGTGTTTTCGTGGCTATCGTGTTATTCGTTAAGAAAAAGAAGAGAGACGTGACCTGTCGATAGCTAACATTCGATCTCGCATCGCGGCAAACAAAACCGCCGAAAAAGGAAGACGCGATTCGAGCTATCGGATAGGAAACGACTAACGAGTAATCGTTTCAAATCGTGACTCGATTGGCAAAACGCAAAGCCGAGTAATGCATCATCGAATAATCGCACGTTCCACGGTACCGTTAACGTTTCTCGCGATTAAAGGCCGCGAGCAACCGTTCCACGGTTTCGTCGAACGGTCCAAGGAACACCTACACGCGGTGAACTTGGCCCTCAGAATTTTGTAGACAATTTCCGCCATTGCCGTCGCTTTACGCGAGTTCTCCGTTCCGCGATCGATCGATCCCGACGGATCCCGAGATTCCCGGACGTGTGTTCGCGTCAGCTGCCGTGCGCGAGCAGAGAACGGTAAGTATCGAGCAAATTGCTGATCGGTAGCAGGGGAAGATTACACGCTCCGGCGTCGATACGACTCGCGTCAGCACTCCTCTTCGACCCCGAAACGTGTTATCGTCGCTGACATTTACACGTTCGTAACGCTACCTGCGCGATTGCGTGGCTTTTCGCAAGATTTATCGGAGGATCCCCGAGTCAACGTTGAAACGGAGGCGTACCGCTTACCGTTAGAAATTCTTTTTCTACGTTGGAAATAATAAACGGTTGTCGCGTGGCATTCGAGAGTTATAAATCGAAACGTTGATTCGCGTACGGTGTTTTCTACGAGTCGATCGAAACTACCGAATGGCTCGTTGCCTCGTAGCAACGGCAGTGGTAATAGTCACCGATGCTCCGCCAGTCTGATCGTTGCGGCGACAAACCACTCGACGTTGATCGCGCTCAACGAAAATCATCGCGAACGAACTGTTTCAGGAAACTTTTGAGGAAGAGGAGTATTATCTTGGGGAACGGCACAAGCAGCTCGCGACCCATTTGCATCGGCACGTACAAGAGATACCACACATGCAACACGCAGGTAAATCAACACAGCGTCCAGCGCCGGTAAACGTTTACGACTTTGCGTTTTGTCGCGACGCGTGGTAGGTTAACATTTGTACTTGGTCGACGAGCCACGGTGGACTTGTCGAATCGGACTCGGTGACAGCTCTTCCTTACCGAAAGTGTTAAAATTCATAGGAGTAATCACCACTCGTGGAGTTAAAGCCTTGCTCGTAATGGACGACTTTGCTCTATGTCTGGATTCTAGTTGGGGTTAATCGGACCCCTTTATAGGGTTAAAGACACCGTGATCGCTCGTTGTCTCGTTCATACTCCGGCGCGGATAACCACATCGTAATCGACTTGCACGCTCGCAGCGGCAGCGAGTTTACAAGCTTTCTCACCAGTCCATCTTTAATTACCTCGAGTTTAATTAAGACGTTACTCGCGATAGAAATGTCCAAACTTCCCGGAGGATTTGCGGGCGGAACAATGCGCCAAGTATAACGGAAGAAACTACAAGGGCGAGAGCTACGATTGGGTTCCGTTCCTGGACGGTAAGTTAAAGCCACTTTAGTTCCTCGAGTCTTGAAATCCCGTCGATGATACAGCGTGACGTTTTAATTGTCGAGACACGTCTGACACTAATTGAAAAATTTGAAGACGCGCGGGAAAAGCGATGGAAAGAAACGTCCGTTTTTATTCGTTGGCAAATAAACGGGAATTACTTAAATACTGTATTATTTTGTACTTTATCGGTACGAACGGTGCAGTAAGTTTCTTCTCTCGTTCTCGATCGAACGTATCACGGCCGTTCCCCAAAAGGCTACCGTGCGTTCTTAACCGCAATTATTGTTGGCCAGCTCCAAACTCTTGCGCGCTCAATTGCCGTGCTGTCGGCGAACGTTTTTACGCAACGCTTGAATCGGCAGTAATGGATGGCACACCCTGCGACGCTCCGAATCTTCGTGGACATAATGCGGGAATTTCTATGGAACGCACAGACCGATGGCTCTGTGTCGCCGGACAATGCAAGGTACGATCCTCCGCAACACGGCGGAAATTGATCGCGGTTTCTACGTCGATACGATCATCGAAATTGATCCGCGACCTTTTCACGGTTTTATAGATTTTAATTGAGCCTTGTTCGATCACGATCGCCGGACCCTTTTTTTTTGTACCTCTAATTCTTCCTTTTTCCTCCATTGTCTCGTATCCGTTCTTTTACAAGTCCGTTAACTCTGTCGGTCGGTCGTCGCCGAGTCTTTTCACACTTTCGATCGATACGGTGTTTTGCCGCGAAACGGATAAGCAGCGACAGTTTGCACGTCGACGTGTAAGTCATTTTGAAAGGGTTTTCTTGCAGCCTGTAGGTTGCGACGGTGTGGTAGGATCTGGCGTAACGACGGATGCTTGTGGTGTCTGCGGTGGTCAGGGTAAAGGTTGTCGTCTGTACGAGGGTATTTTTATGGAACCAATCCTGCCGAGGGGTCATCAACCCGTGACCACCATACCGAAGGGAGCTGTGTCTCTCAACATCTCCGAACTTCGTTTCAGTAGCAACTTCTTAGGTACGCGATGGAGCGGGAAGCTAAATGTGCTACGTATATGTATACGCGCACCGGGAGCTAGAAGGAAACGTTTCTTCCAACGAACAATCTGATCTGTTTAGCGTTAAGAGACAGCAACGGTAGTTACATCCTGAATGGACCGTTGGCATATAGTCCAAGCGGCACTTATAAAGCGGCTGGCGCGACATTAACATACCAGAGGGGTGACAGAAGCCGCGTGGAGTGCATCTTGGCAACCGGGCCACTGAACGATTCTTTGCATTTAGAGGTACGCCCATAAACACGCCTCTGATATCTGACCCCTTCGAGAATTTATTGGAACGACGTTTCTTTCTTTTTTTGCTGTTCGCGCCATCGAGAGACGCTTCTCTCGACTCGGTCCTCATTGTATTTTACCCGTCGTACATCGTCGAACGGTATTATATCCTAATTGTTCCTTCAGATCCTGGCGCAGGAAATGAACCCCGGAGTGCTCTACAAGTATATGCTGCCGTTAAAGGAGACCACCAACGGAAGGGCGATGATAGCCCCACCGCTTTTCGCGACAGGTAACCGTTTTCAGCCGGTAGGCCGCTTAATCGAATGCATTTTTCAAAGTGCGATTGTCTTCGGAATATCTGTGCGCAGTTCTTATGCAACGCGCTTTATGGCCGACTCGTTACTCACATACAAATGGGAAACGCGCGAACAGCGAAGTGATTTATTACCGTCTCCCTCTTTGTTGCAGGATCCGTGGATCGTGGCAACGAAATTCCCGATTCGGATTCCCGCGTCGCTCTGACGATACCCACGACCAGAATGTAAATATACCCGAGCGTCTATTGCTTGCTTTCTTAACGTAATTGATTCCCTCGAGTGAAATTGTAAAGCGTTCTAAAAATAGACGATATTACGACAAGAAAGCTTTTCTCTTTGGACAGCTGGAAAACGAGAACCGCGCGTTGACAGTCGCGATTCGCGTTCGTACAGTTTCGTTGCTTTTTCAGATACGACCGAAAAAACGATCTATCATCGAGGAATCGCGACAAGAATGGACCGCTGTCGCGCGACAGAGCACCAAAAGAGGAGATGAAGCATCCACCGACCACTGTGATGGCCGGCGATCAGCCGAAGTCGAAGGCCAAAAAGAGAAAGCGACTGAAATTTGGTTGGAAGATGTTCGGATTGACTCCTTGCTCCAAGGAGTGCGGAGGAGGTAATTTTTCAAACTAATACATTTACCCAGTTTCTCGTTCGGTTGCGATCGGTGCTGCAAACCCACGGTTCTCGAGTCGTAGCCTCAATTTTTCGGGCATAGTAATCAGACGAACAATTAGGAGAAAAAGCGTGCAGACAATTGAAATTCGTCCTTGGAGCAAGCGGAGAAACAGCCGCGGCGCCCTGCAATCGAGTCGCGCGTGGGAAGCCGGTCGAGACGCGTTCGTTTCGGTATTATCGTCGGGTTCGGAGAGCCGTGAGATTACGAAGCTCGATTTGCTTGTTGCCACCACGGAAGTTCCATACCAATTCACGAAATTTATTAGCAGGAAGCCCCACATCCGTGATCGTCCCACGTTGTTATTTTCCACGCGTCGTTCCCCGTTCGTCTCCGATGGAAGAATGTTGCACACGGTCATTGTTTGACGATTCCTTTCATCTAGATTTAGATCGACAGCTCATACGGGCAACCAGAGATAACGTTGTCTCGACTGTCAGTGCCTCCCTAATTCCCTTCTCGTTCTTATTATCTACGTACTGCTTGCAGGGATCCAGAAAGCGATTTTCAAGTGTGTTCGCGTGAACAATGAAATGATCGTGAACGAAAGACGTTGCCGCAACGTGGGAAAGCCCCAGCAGCCGCCTCCGTTGCGTTGCAACGATTACCCATGTCTGGCCAGGTAATCCGTCTCCCCGCGATTCGAGTGTTACTCGGAAATTAGCGTGTACGAGTCAACGACGAGCGCAAATGTTGTTACAGATGGAGGGCGGAACCGTGGAGCGAGTGCTCGGCCAGCTGCGGTACTGGAACGAGAACACGAAAATTGGAGTGCGTACAGGAATTAAATGCGAACCTAACGATGCGAGTAGCTGCCGGTGCGTGTGTCCAACCACCAGACCTGAGGACCGTGGAGGCTTGCACGAAACCGGCTTGCACGAGCAGTCCGGAATTAAGGCACATGCACTCGCAACACGACACACCCAGATGGGACGTCGGAGCTTGGGGCCCGGTAAGTGGAGCTTTTTTTTTATCGATACAAATAGTCGTAGAGTGCCGTTGACGCTTCCCTTTACTCGAGTGAGCACTTTCAAGCATTTCCACTCGACGGAGATATGCGTTTCTTCTTAAACCGGATACACTTTATTTATTTATTTTTTTTTTTTTCGCGTAAAGATCTTACGTTCTTGTGATTTCAGTGCTCGGTGACGTGCGGAGAGGGGGTACGAAATCGAACGGTGACGTGCATCACGCCTGGCAAGTCCTGTTCTTTGTTAAAGAAACCAGAGTCTCGGAAAGTTTGCGTATCCGCGCCTTGCACGAGCAACAACGCGGAGCAACGGGCACCCTGGCTGTACTCGGATTGGTCGTCCAAGGTAAACAGTGTTTCGTTTCTATCAAGATTCTCGTTTCTGACGCGTTTTATCATTTCTTTCGCAATTAGTGCTCTGCCGAATGCGGCAACGGAGTCGAAACGAGACGAGTAGCGTGCGCCGACGGCAGCGAGCTGTTTTGTAATCCCAAAGACAAACCGGAAACCGAGAGGCAGTGTTACGGTAAAGGAGCGAACTGCGATAGGGCCAAGTGGTTCACCGGTCCATGGACAATCGTTAGTATCGATTTATCGAACAGCCGGAATAGACTATCTCGCTACGAACGATGGGATATTTTATTTGTTCGTGTCAGTTCCAGACGTTTTGCACCTTGTATGGTTTCAGTGCTCCGTGTCTTGCGGAATGGGTGTCCAGTATCGAGAAGTCCTTTGCGTCGCAAGGACGAACAACGAATTCGTCGTGTTACCAGCGAATGGTTGCAACGATTCGAGGCCAGCAACCGAGCAAGCGTGCGTAGTGTCCGCGTGCACACCGGAATGGTTTACCTCGGACTGGTCGAAGGTAAATCGCATACACGAATTTATGATCATGCGAGGGACCGTGACTTTTTCAATCTCCCCCCGGTATAAATACTAACGCCACTTTCAGTGTTCGACGACGTGTGGCACCGGCGTAAAAACCAGATTGGTTCGCTGCATCCTCGAGGGCGTCGGCGACTCGAATTGCGTAGAAGCTGCAAAACCGATCGACCAACAACAATGCAGTTTGGAATCTTGCGAGAAGGATATCCCGTTGCCTAGCAAATCGCCGAAAAGTGAGGGAAATCGTTCAAATTCGTGATTACTTTTTAACTCGTAACTTTTCGTCGTAACTTTTTAACGATGTGATCCATTTTGCACGATTTTCAGAAGCCTACGAGACGTCCGAGTGTGTCGACAAACATCCAAACTGCGTGCTGGTCGTGAAGAATGGCCTGTGTCGAATAAAGTACTACAAGTATTCGTGTTGCCGTTGCCGCGAGTAATCGGCCGATGGGCGACGTCGAATCTAACCCCGCTTAACCGGGTTAGGTCCGAGTCGGGGCAGGTTTCAACCCACCACGGTCACCGCCGTCTCTTTGCGTTCGATTAAACTCGTAGCTCTTCCTTAGTTAATGTAACGCGATCGTCCGTTGGAACGGAAGAATCGCGTCCGGTACCCAAGACTGTTACAAAGAGACGACCGTATTACGTACAAGTTTATTTAACACAATTACCGAGTATCTAAACCCCCGTGTAGCTTTATTTCTTTGATCGTCTAGCTCCCTCGCGACAGATTACGGGAGAATAGTTATTTAATTCCCTTCGAACGTTAACCCGAGAAACGGAGTAGCAAAACGAAAGCACGCTAGTCGTTTGAAGTAGACCAAGTATCTAATCGAACGCGTTAGAAAGGGAACGCATCGAAACGATGCCGTGCATCGTTAACGCGAGATGAAAAGAGAGAGAATACGTATTAGCGCGTAAATGTATCAACATATCTGCGTGGCGAACCTACATAGATAAACCTGCGAATTTTTGTCGCGACAAGTCTGTGTTAACTTAACGATGGTACCGATCCGATCCTCGCGTTATTCCAGCAAAGTCGCTAATCGAGTACAGCAGAACTTTATTCCCCCGAATTCAATTTTATTCGATTCCCGATTTACCGTACCTAACAATTCCTATAGTTGCATAGAGCTGCACATGCACGATATATCTCTGAATTCGCGATGAAAGGAGCGACTTTGAGCGGCGAACTGATTTTTATTCGACCATAGCTGAGAGGTCTTGGTCCCATCGCTAGCATAAACACGCGAAATGAAACGGGCTCGGGCGGAGCGAATGAAAATGCTGTCTGGAGTTGTCGCTGAAAAAAAAAAAAGAAAAAAAAAAAATGAATCGATCGATCCAGCTGCATTCTCGGTGTATGTACTTCGATAGGTAGTCTGTTTAGTTCCAGAACGTTATTTATCGTTCCCGAGCCCGTATCGACGGGTAGACGATAGATGTAGCCGTGGGCAATTTCCGTTATCGAGCATTTAATTAACATATCGAGCCAAGCAAATCCGGCGATTTTGATTTACGAGCCTGACTTATTAACGAATCCATCCACGATGCGGATAGTACGATAACCTTCAACCGGAAATACCGGGTTCACTTCTTTATTATGTTTTCTTTTTGTAAAACGACCAACACGCGTTAGAGAATGTAGCCTGTGGTAGTATGAATATTCGACGTGTAAAAATTATTAATAGCCCGTACGTAAAGCAAATAACGATAGTTACAACGATGCTGTCGAATCAAATGTACACTCGTCCCCGTAGTAAGTCATCGACAAAGTAAAATGTATGCGTAGAATCGAATCCCTGACAACGTACGGCGGAAACACCCTACTATACCCTTTAACTTTTATGAATCGACGAGTCTGCGAGGACCTTTGCAAGGGGTGTAGATTAAATTTAAACAAATAACATCCTAACGGTCAATCGTGAAAATTGCGCTGGCAATCAATCCTCGGTGTCAATTAAATCGCATTCCGGTTTGCCTTCTCGAACTCCAAGGAAATCTGCGAATACCTACCGTATTTCGATCCGCCTCGTATCTCTCGAGAAGCTGTTTCGATTTCTGTTTACAATTACAAAAATTTGTTTCAATAAACTTTCCGTTCTCCTTCTATCTTTTCTTTTTTTTTCTTTTTTTTTTTTTTTTTTGTTACTTTATACGGACGTAGTTTTCATCAGGTAAGTGCCGACTCCTGGATCATTTTAGTGGATAGAAATCTTTATTTGTCGTAGCGTTACAATCTTACGATATGTTACGATAATTTCGATCGACTGTGATTTTATTTTTCAATTCGTTAGATTTTGTTTGACGAGATTTTTTCTTCAGGTCCCCACGTGTTCGGTTATTCGGCTCCAAAAATCAATCTATCGACACATTGAAATGGGACGCCTCGTCTACATATATTACAAACGTGTAAAAAGAGTTCCTTCGTTCCGAAACCTCTAACTAGAAGGCTAACTGTTAGCAATCATTTTTCTATCAATTTGGAAAAACTTGCTCGACAAGAGTTTTCGATCACGGTCATGCAGGTACCTACCTACGATTGTATTATGTACCGATAATTAATCGAGTATCACTGTTTATGGCTGTGACGTGCACCACGAATTGTAAATGTATTTATGTGTCTCGGCGAAGGGCATCCCCCCACAATGTGTTATTCAAATGGATAGCGAGTGCTGGTCCGCGTTGTAAGGATAAGAAAGAAAGAAGCAGTCGGACGACATTGAAAAGAACTTAATCTCGAAGAAATATGTCGCGGCCGAGGCATGCGTTTCGAAGAGATACAAACATTATCTGCACTTCACGATATATGTATTTACTCAAGCATTGTACTCGATTTTCTTGTAGATTAATCAGTTTCGCGAATCGAACTCAATCTCAGGTCCGAGTACGATAGACACGTGGCGAATCTTTGTTCTGTGAACGTTGTTTTTGCACCTCCGCGGTCCCTTTCTTGAGTACGTACATGCATATATATTTTCTTTACGCGATTTCTTTATCTGTAAGCATGCCACAACTTGTGAAAGCAAATATAGTAATCTCTACCGCAAATCTTTGTTGATACCAAAGCATCTCGCGTCTAGCTTCTCGTCTTTGTGTGAATAATAGTCTGTTTATCGTATTATCACATTCGCTCGAGACAACGTTACCGTACTCGTCAGCGTATGTGATACAATCGTCAAAGACTGTGATACAATCGTAGTCTCTCGCAAAAGTAAAGTACAACGAAGAATAGCTAACGACATACGTAACGATACAAGAACTGGCGCGGTTTCAAGCGCAGCTTTGAATCGTTTACGTGTAATTTAGGGTATTTCGAATTAAATACCTTAAAATTCCTGGTAAATCTACGTAAGGCTAACATTTTTCAGTGTACCTCTAAAGTAGAGACATGTAAAAGAAAAGTGGAGAGTATAGACTGATAAAAAAAAAAGGCTCAACATTGTACACCATGAATCGATGTTACGTGTTTAAGGTACATATAACGTAAACTGTTAAGTGTAGCCGAGCCGTTATATCGAACACCTGACTTGCTCAAGAAAAAATTGTAAATCGATGTTGAGCTTATACTTTGCTGGAGAATTAAATCGAATCTTCGCTTACAAGGTGCAACTATTATTTGTGCGTTGACAAATAAGACTTCGTGTATCTGCTCAATGTGAAAATATAAATACGAAAGCTTGATTTTTTAAAACAAACAATATATCGTCGAAACGATTAACTAAATGGATGTTTTATGTGACTCTGGATAACTAGTAACATTTTTCGTCGTATTAAAGGTAAAAGTTTATTATAAATCTATAATAATATACAACATATAAATATACAGCGATATATATAAAAAAAAAAAACAATATGTCTTCTCGTTCAAGCTATTAACGTAAATTATACTACAAGAAAATACTATCGTTACTCGTTATTTTCGGACATTTATTTGTCACGTGTAAGCGAAGTACATAAAAATGTCTGGTACATTGCCATAGAAACATCGTGGCGATTAATTGGTGTTGTCCATGGAAACACCCTTTCCGGTCCATCTCTCTTTCAGTTCTACTTTCAATCCTAGATCCCTCAAGGCTGCGTTCACGTCGCTTTCGAGTTTAGGGCCGTGTAGCTGAAGAACATTCCTCAAGACACCTTCTACGCCATACGCAATAAATTCTTGACATTCTGCTTTATTTCTTACAGACATATTTCGAATGGCCCAAGCAGCTTGCTTCAACACACTCAAACTTTTAGAATAAGCTTTCATCGCATCTATAATTACAAGCGGCGCTCCACAGTCGTAAAACACACCAGCATTTGAGGGACACCTCAATGTTAATGCAGAAATGCATGCAAGTCCAGCAGTCACTACGCATTCCGAGCCCTATGGTATGATCAATGTTTGTATAGCAAAATTGTCTTTCCATGTATAATAGCGAAAATACCAGTCGACATGGCTTTAAAAAGAAAGTCTCACACCAATTCAAACTTACTTTGAGTCTACTGATAGCTGAAACAATTATAGGGCTGCAGCCGGACGTTACGATATGCGATTTCACGCTGTCGTTCCCAGCGAGAGCTTTTAATAATTTCAAAGCCTGCCAATTCAATTTTTCCGAATCTGGATAATCGATCATAATGTCTACAACAAATTTCAGTCCTCCTGCATCCTCTACCTCTTGACAGAATTCATTTCTCACGATTAACGCAGCTAGTGTTATCATTAAATCTCCTACGACTCCTTTATCTTTTTTAAATCCTGCATCCAAGAAATGTATTCGTTAGAATTTTCTAGCGATTGCATCGACCGTTTCGTATAATACGATAAACGACAACTATTTACTTGGCATTAACCCAGTCAAAACATTAAGGGCTCCTTTTGCTATAACAGTTGCATGTTCGTGAGACTTCCCATATTCGTGCCTAATGTCGTCGTCTAACACGAGAGCTCTAATTACAGCGCAAGCATCTCGTAATTCAGGTCCGGTCGCGTTATCTCGAATTAATATTTTTTTAAGTTTATTAAAAATATCTGCGTTGAAAATACTTTGTCTATTTTGCTCGTGTTTTATACAACATTCTCTGATCCAGTGCAAAAGATATTGTAACGTTGGAATGTCGGTATATCTATCTAAAATGCTAATGAATAGGATAATGCATAAAAGAAACTAATAATTAACTATTACATTTAATTGTAACTATTAATAACTTCTCACTATATTTGCAATGCCACTCCCTCGTCGTTTAATAAGTCTGGATTACCATTCATCAATGAGGTAATGGCCTTCAATGCAGACCTTATTACCAAACTATTATTAGGGCAAGATTTCATTAACTTTATTAAAGTATCGTATCCTCCTTTTTTACCTGCGTATACTCTGTACGCAATATCTTTGTCTAATTCATTTCTTAACTTGTCTAACGTTTGAGGAACATTTCCATAATTCTTATCCTCTATGGCTATATTAAGTTGACTCAGATAAGATGTTATCAATTCATTGTCATTGTTGAGTATTAAATCTTTCATGATGTTACTCAAGTCTACACCCTATAAAAATAGAGTTGATAAAAACAACCATGGCATTGCGTGCACTTACGTAAGGTGGTCTAGATTATTTGAATTCCGATATTCTTTCGCATCGTAATTTTAAATATATAATATATTTAACTGAATATTGTTTTATATCTGTGGCAAATTATTATTCCGGTAGGATTAATAATTTTCATATGGTACAAAAATCAGGATAATTTTTATCCTAGATGATACGATCTGTAATGTGTTATTACGAAATACACATAATTTTTAGAGTAACCAGCGTACATTTGACGTAATAGACAAATTATAATTTGAGAAAATTATATTTCAAAAAATATCTACGTATAAAATGACACTAAAAATGTTCCAAATATCTTCAAGTAACAAGCAGTAAAGCTTAATGTGACATCGTTAACCAACAAAATGTCATTTTTCAGAAATGTTTAAGTCAGGAAAACTGAGGCAAACAAATTGGAGTACCTGTGCTTCGAATTGTTTAATAGCATCTTCTACAGCTTCTTCGGGAGTCATCGAAAATTGCTCTATATTCTCGTTGACGACTTCATCGTAGGTTTCTTGACTAATTACGCGAACCATGATAACACTGTTTCTTTGTTCACCGTGTCCTAGATTTCTATATTAGGAAATGAATGCTGTCTTACAAGAAAACGGTATGTCTCATCCACGTGAAAACAAAAAGACAAATGTCAATCTAATCGCGTTCTGTAATACACCTATTGGAAACGAAACGAACATGGGAGGGGATGGTCTTAAGGGTGATCCCTAACGCATCATTTTTATTTTCTCACTATATTTATTTTAATGCTCTTATTTCTTTCGTTACACTACATTATGCTCTTGTTTTAACGATATAAATATAAAAGAAGTAAATTAATTACTTGCAGAATTGATATTGAATTTATAGTAAACTATTTTCTACGATTATCGTTGTCTCCGATTATTTGACTTATTAGTAGCGCAAAATTCATGTACAGAGGATATGAAAATTTGTAGAAAAAAAAAAGATATTTGAACTATATTAATAGATGTATAGCAGAAAAAAGGGAGATTAAAAATATTTATGAAATAGTAAGTTTCTTATCCTGATAAAACGTAAGCAATGACCAACCGCAGCGCCCTCGGCTGCTTCGCCTGGCCTAACCGTGTTCGTTCGTGTTGCGACCGAGAGAAACAATTCTTTGTCACTTACCTTTCAATCTTTCCAAGATTTCTTATTCTTTCGCTGGCGTCCGAAGCTTGAAAGCTCAAGGATTCGATGTGCCGAAGCGCAAAGGTAGCGTTTCCACGTAAAGTTGAGTCGCGAAAGTATTTAGTCAACTCTCGATTCTCGTATTCTCGTCAATATCAATTCTCGACGTCCAGTTTCTTTTTTGTGAAAAGTTTAATTTTCTCTGAAATTCTTTCGATCTTTGTGTTTCTTGTGCAAAGTGAATGTTTTGTGAGAATCCAAGCGGCGTGATTTTTCTATTATTTACCCCACCCGCGTGTCGTTTCACAATTCGTTATCAGAGGCGTGTGCTATACAATTTTACGCGTACATAACGTCTCCCTGCGATCAAAATGTACTTCT